CAATATATTTTATTTCACCTTTCATTTCCATTTTTGAGAGTTTTCTGATGCCTGTAATTAGGACCCTAAAGATAACAGTAACAGCAACAACTGATACCATGTACCAGGCACTGCTGGAATGCCTTTTACCTGTTTGTATTCAGTTTAATTCTCACAGCAACACAACGGGAGAGACCACTATCAGCACCTTCTCTATAGGTATGTGATTTACAAGCTGAATTCATGAGTAGACATACACGGGCAGCACGTTTTCATATTTATTTACTGTTAGGAGTCCTTGGTCAAAACACCGCTACCTCGTCTGTCAGCCTTCGCCTGTTTCTTTGGGTGCCCCCACTTCTGTGGGAACCCTCCTACTTCTGCAATGACTCCTGTGGTTGTGTGGGCACCCTCACTTCTTCAGGTAGCCCCCCACTTCTACATGCGCTTCCTCACTTCTGTGGGCTCCCAGACATAGCAGGTTCTGCTCGTCTCAGTGCTCACTCCGACTGAGAAGGCCAGGAATTCCAAGACATGCAGACTTTGTCCTGGGAAATCACTAGCAGTCTGATGGGCATTCACTGCCGGACAGCCCTGTGCCCTCACTGATGGTGCCCTGCAGTGGGTTCTCATGACCCCCTACCATTTCTGTGAGCCGTTTTTAAATGGACTCATGGCTCTTTGATTTTGACTCTGTTGCCATCGAGGGCGGGACACCTTCCCTTCCTCCCAGCTTCTCAGTCGCAATGGAAAAAGATAAGCAGAGGCCACCCTTCATCAAAGGGAGGCCAGCCACTGAGTGTGTGTAGCACTAAATTAACCCAAGGTCACAGTGGCAGAGGGGCTGGTTGCCCATGCACATCACGCCCCACCAGGGGCTTGGCAACAGCACGCCCTTAATTGAAGGCATTGGGTTTGCATTTGAGTCATGGTGCCCTGTTTCAGCCTTTGTTTGCCAAACCGCCAGTCAACTTAAACTAAAACATGTTTTTGGAAGAGACTTTTAGGAGGTGGTAGGAATGCATAACTTGCTGGAAATATCCAAATGGACTTGGGGTGGTGATGCAGGGACAAAATAAGAACATGCATGGGTTTAGGTTGTGATTCTCTGCTGCAGAGGGACAGAGAGAGTGGGCAGCTTTCGTTAGTCCTTCCTGATCCACTAGCTATGGGGGTCAGTTCATCCCAGTCAGGAAACTGGTAGGCAAGGTTCTCCAGGACGTTCCTGGTCTGCACACGGCATCTGTGGTGACCATCAACGTGGTCACAGTCTCATTCCATAGAGAGAGCTGGGAGGACCAAGTCACAGGCCACCCTGACATTAAAGCATCCATGTGCCTGCCTCACTATCTGTTTAAGAACCTAGTGTGCAAAATATACCATTTGGGCTCCCAAGTAGTTCCTGAGCTGGTTTGCAAACTTGAAAACACACTGGGATCACTTGGTGGATACATTTTCATAGCAATGCCGGGCAGCACTCCAGCCAGTGCCATCAGCCACAGCTGAGATGGCCTTCCGTAGACCGGCTTCGCAGGTGATTCTAACACGCAGCCAGGGTTGGGGCCACGGTCACAGCAGGCTCACTTCATGGAGCCATGAGCAGTGTGTGGTCTCTGAACCCCTCCCAGTTTACTGGGTCCTCACTTTCACTGGGCCCTGGGTGAGTCAGTCAGCACTTCCCTCCTGTGGTTACCCAGTTTGAGCCCCACCACCGGCCCAGCTCCTGGAATCCTCTCCAACACCCCCCCCCGACAAGGGGAATTTCCAAAATGTTTTGGTCTTGAGGCATGGTGTAAACAATTTCTTAAAAAATGACCATTTATAAGTGAGTTAGTTGCTGCTTCTAAAGACTTTAAATCATCTTTAAAACCCACAGTTAAAATAGTATTCAAGCCATTGGGTGTATGTGGGGAAGGGGATAATGTCAATAGGTGTAGCCTGAATTCAGTTCCGGTACAAATGCAATTTATATTAAAAATATAAAACCTCTGCAATTTATATTCAAAATGTTTGGTTTCAAAATTTCCACAAATTCCTGTGCTGACTAATCAAAATTATAACATTTTGAGATAGCAGCGTTGGCCATCTCTTCGATTCCTTCTGCGTCTCTTCTTCTGGAGATGTCAGCTAGCATGAGCACAATATATTTAAAAAATGGACTTTGCCTTTAAAGAGAATAAGACAATTTTTTAAGGCCTTCAAAGTTGGTTCAGCTTCTTACTGGAACTAAGAAATCGCTGCAGCATCAAGAAACCATTAGGTCGAAGTAGTAAATGGGGAGAAGATACTGGCAAGCCACTTTGCAAAGTTGGTTTAAGGATAAGGAGAATATATGAGAAGTGTATTGAGTTCCTCAGAAGAAAGCCTCAAAATGCAATGCCTATCATTAAATTGTTTTAAGCTCTTCATAAAAATAACATATTATTTCTCAAATTACAGAGGGCTCTGACAGTGAAGGGGGAAAAAAAAGATTGTTCTTTCCAAAACAGTAATATTTTTCCACTACTTCTGAACCTAACAACTCTGAAAGCATTGGGCAGTTTCTCTAACTTCAAAATTATTGAAGAGAAAGTGCTCCTGAGACAGTTTGCAATTAGACACTATCAGACACAAGTTCTTCGTGCTGAGTCTTAATCAACTGCAAGATCTACTACTTTACTCTTATTTTTAAAGTAGAAAAAACATTTTTATCAATTTAACAATACTAGTAAATATCAGTAGCTGACTTTGCATAATAGTTTCTGGTCCGCAGACTATTTCCATATGTAATGCATTACTGAGTTTCACAGCCATCCTGTGCAGCTGAGGTTATTCTGTCATCTTACAGAGGGGGAAACTGAGTCTTGGAGAGGCTGAAACAGTGAAGGTGGTAGGAGCTTTCAATCCTCTGACCCCAGGCCATTTTATTGACAGTCCTCTGCTTACATAAAACTTATTGTGGACTGCGCTGGCTTCAGATCCTCCTTTTGTACTTATGTAACTTCATGACCTTGGAAAATTCATTTTATCTTGCTACACCTCCATTTGTTTATTTAAAAAAATATTTTTATTAACTTCAGAGAGGAAAGGAGAGGGAGAGAAAGAGATAGAGACATCAATGATGAGAGAGAATCATTGATTGGCTGCCTCCTGCACGCCCCACACTGGGGATCGAGCCTGCAACCTGGGCATGTGCCCTGATCATGAATTAAACCGTGACCTCCTGGTTCATAGGTTGATCCTCAACCACTGAGCCACGCCTGCTGGGCTACACCTCCATTTGTTAAAACATAGATAATAAAAGTAACTACACTTTGCCCTAACTGGTTTGGCTCAGTGGATAGAGCGTTGGCCTGCGGACTGAAGGGTCCCGGGTTCGATTCCGGTCAAGGGCATGTACCTTGGTTGCGGGTATATCCCCAGTAGGGGGTGTGCAGGAGGCAGCTGATAGATGTTTGTCTCTCATTGATGTTTCTAACTCTATCCTTTTCCCTTCCTCTCTATAAAAAATCAATAAAATATATATTTTAAAAAGTACCTACACTTTGTAGGGTTATTGAAAGGATAAAGGAGGAAAATGCATGATTGCATGAAATAGATTTTCCCTGTTATGATCCTGGCTCCTTTCTGTAACTCTCTTTCTTGTGAAAGGAGTAACAGGTGGGAAGGAGAACCATCTGAAAACTGGCCAGGTTGCTGACCAGTTTGTAACCAAGAAGCCAGATCTGGGTGTCTGGCTCCAACACTGAGAGGATGGAAACTATTCATATTCTTAGCAACAGTGTCCAGATCTTCCTGGCCTGTCTCCAACCAGCCGGCACTGGGCTGCAGGCCGCAGTGACCTCCCTGAAGTGACGGGGTCACACCGAATAACACGAACCTTTCATCGAGACGGGCTCCTATTTTCAACCCTTTTGGATTGGAATAAGGGCTCAGCTGAAGAGCGGACAGATCTGCTCACGTGGCCCCGGCTCAGCTCAGAGCTCCTCCCTCTAAGGGCCTGGGTTTTCATCAGGTCAGCGGGGACGGCAGCCCCACGTCTGCCCAGATGACAGGTGAACGATCCGGGCCTCAAGGGGGCCTGAATGTCATCGCTCTGGCCGAGCCTTCGCAATCATCTGACTCAATGACAAGGCACGGAGGAGCACAACAACCCGGGAAGAAGAAAATAAAAACCAAACCTACCAACACCCACGTTCCCTCCTACTCCTGAGCCTAAAATTCAGACAGCTGCTACCTCCCAGGCTGCACCACTGACAAAAACGCACAATAATAAACCAATGAAGAAGAATCCCTGACTTGGAGGCCATGGCTAGACTTACTTGCCTGACCACCATCATCATCATTGGTATTTCGCGACAGCTCATTACACACAAAGGGAAAGCAAGTGACCCAGACAGGCAGTTTCAGGTAAACACAGGAGTGGCTATTGTTATCCTATGAGGGTGGCGGTGGGAGGGAGTTACGGGATAGAAGCACTGAGGTGCTCTGAACTCATCCAGTGTCGTGGTCTGAACCCAGAAAGCCTTGGGCTCACCTAGAGGCAGCTGCAGTGGGTCAAGGAGTTGGACCGTGAGAACAGTCAGGGGTGCAGAAGGTTTTCAAAACCAGCCAAGGTGCTCTATGGCTTGCTTACTGCTCCGTTCTCTCTCGCTAAAGTTGCTGGCTGCAACGTGCTCCCTTTTACCCACGGGGGCTGGGAGCGGCTCCCTTTTACCCACGGGGGCTGGGAGCGGCTCTCTTTTACCCACGGGGGCTGCAACGTGCTCCCTTTTACCCACGGGGGCTGGGAGCAGCTCCCTAAGCATCCTGGCACCCCATCTGCCCTCTGTCCTCTATCGGGGCCAACCTCAGGGACACCCCAACAGCCCACATAAGAAGTACGTTGGGAAGGGGGAAGTTGAGGAGTCCATTTCTGCTTTCCTCAAAGTTCTCAGGGTCCTACAAAGTTACTTCTTTGGGGAAACTACTTGTAGACAACCCGAAAAGACAATTCGACTTGAGAGAGAGGCTGGGTCAGCCTCCGGGTTCCTGGGACTTACCCGGACGACGTAGTTAAATCTCCTGGAGTCCAGGATGGCGGTGGAGAAGTCCAGCCTGTTGAAAGCTTCCCCCAACGTGCAGTAACCATGGCGCTGAACATGAGAAGAGGGATGCGGAGGTTATTCCCGGACAATCCACCGGACTGGACGGAATACACTTGGTGCCTGTGCTAGGTAACCATGACCATTTCCTCCTTTCTTGTGCCATGACACGCCTTTTCTGGGAACCCCCTGAGAGCCACAAATATGGGGGTAGTGGAGCTGGCAGCTGCTTCAGTCAGTGACTCACAGGTTAACACCCCCCTTTGTGACTTGAACCATTTGGGCCCTTGTTCCCTACAGAGAGTAGCTGGGGAAATTCGTAAGTAGCTGCTCATCAAGGAAAGGCAAGGAGTTGGATGTGTGATGTGTGAGATGGTGGCAGCTGCTCATGGTAACATACTCCTGGGAGGAGCAGCAGACCTACCCGCCAACTCTGCCTGCTACCTTGCCTTGCATCGCCAGTACTTTTCTCAATCTGATCATCAGAAGGGTTTTTAAGGCTTCATGAAGAAGCAAAAAGTTTTGGCCCAGCAGGTGTGGCTCAGTGAGCGTTGACCCATGAACCATGTCATGGATCCATTCCGGTCAGGGTGCATGCTGGGCTACGGGCTCAATCCTCAGTAGGGGGTGTGCAGGAGGCAGCTGGTTGATGTCTCTCTTTCATCAGTATTTTTGTTTCTCTAGCTCTCTTCCTTCCCCTCTCTTTAAAATCAATGAAAACTTATTTTCTTTTTAAAAGAAGTTTTGATCTTTGACCTACGAACCCATAAGGAACTGGGAGTAGAGAGCCCTGACTCATAGTCCCAGCTCAGCTCTGGGTATCTGGGTGTCTCACTGACCCTTCAGGGTCTCATCTCACAGAGGGAACCAGATGTTCTCCAATGATAGAAAGTCCATCATTCTCTCCTACTGCCTGTATCCTAGTTGTCTGAGCAAATACTGCCTGTGCAGAGAGAAAGTATGCACAAAGGGTTATATAAAGTGCCATCAAGTGTGGTAATTATAGTCTGGTCCCCTTCTACTAGTACATCTAGCTCGGTGCCTCACAAGGATCAGGCAAAAACATTCTGCTCTGTTTAGTGATTAGCTCTTCCAGGGCTAAAACTTAACTGCGTTGAAATCTAAAGAGATCTCAGAACAAAAAGGAGGGACTGTCTTGAGGCAAAAAGGCCAGGGATTCATAATAATATATTTGAGGTGGGCATCTTTATGCCTATTTTTACATACATTATCTTAATGACTAGGGGGGAAAAGGGGACAACTAGTGACTTTTGCTTCTCTCTCTCTGGAGCCCTAGATTCTCATGGTTGGCTAGTTAGTGGGCTGCTCGTCACCATCACCCACACCCCAGAAGACAGTCATGATTTGAAATAACACTGTTGCTCAATTTCCCCCCACTCTGTTGGGAAAGGCGGAAAGCTAAGCGTACTCTTTAATAACAGATGATGCTCACCTCTTTAGTACTTCCTTTGTGAACATAGATCCATTTTTCTTGGTGAAAATCTACAGAGACAGTAAGAAAACATACCCAGTTTGAACATGCCCAAGATTGTAAACTTGTTTCTTTTTCATTTATCTCAGAGTGTAAAGTTTCGAACACACACACACACACACACACACACACACACACAACTCTACTGACAATCTAAGAGGCTGCAAATGCCTAATTTCTGCAGTGTATAGATACCGGAGTTACAATTCTACTTTGTCTGAAGCACTCCAAATCTTTGATACTCAAATTTAATGCCTCATAGCTCCAAACTAAAAAAAAAAAAGAATCTAATACCCAAGTACAAGTTTGTTTTATATGCCAAGCCTACAACTTATGCAAGGTCATAAAAAGTAGAAATAAAACAGATAACACAAGGGAACTATGCAGTGCAGATGGATTAAACTAAAGATCTGTAATTCCTGCTTATTAACAGAACTTTACACTCTCCTTTGACACTCACGTACAGCATCTAGAAGTGTTCCTAATATTTATACAAGGAAAGAGGGAGAAACAAACCCATTTTCAAAGCCTCAAAACAGTTCAAAATAAAAGCATGCGCTGGAATTGACTCAGCTGACCTTATCGCTGTATCATAACTAAATTAACTATGCCAAGTATAAGTGACAAGCAGGAAAAAAACACCCCAGCTAGCAACTGACTGTATAAACAAGACTATAAAGAACACATTCATCTCGCTCGTAAAATGCATAGACAGGTTTCTGAGTGCAGAGATCCCAGCATCCTCTGTCAATGACACGGTAAACATCGAGGCAGATGTCTAACAGGAGGTGTGATTACTCCCTCCCGCTCCCCAAGCCCACCCGTAACACCTTCAAACAGTGTTCCCAGGTTCAAAACGAAGGGCTTACATTGCGTTTTGGTTTTGCAGTTCAGCATGTCCTTCTTTCTCTTCTTGGCCGCCACGTCATAGTTGAGGCTGTTGAAAAGATTCTCCTTGTTGTACACTTCCTTGTTGCAGTAGCTAGGAAAAACAAGGCGAGAGGGGAAGCGCTGTCACAGCTATACTTTAACACGAGCTGTTTCCCTAAGTAGCTTACTGGTTATAAAACACGCTCCTCAAACACAACAATTAATACCCCTCCAAAGAGGTCTCTCCAGGCACAGACATCCCTCTTTCAGAATCAGATACTGTCACATCTTGGTGGAAGGCAGGGATGGGGGCTGCTGCTGCTTTTGAATTCCCAACAGTGCTTGCCATTGTATGTGACACTGCCCTGCACTCTCCACACAGGGCGCTACAATATTACTGTAAGCAACGAGGATGAATGGAGGGAGTGGGAGAGGGGCCATTACTGGTATCCCTGTAATGCACAATGGCCTTGTTTGGCAAAAGCCCCCACCCCAAGCCGTTTTTCAAAAAGATAGAATTCACCTACCATACAATTCTCCTATTGAAATGCACCCAAGCTGCTTTAAACTAGCATGCCTCTCTAAGCCTTGAAAACGTGACCACATTTACAAAAATCCGACTTGCAAACTCCATTTCTAGGAGATGATTTGTGAACCGAGCTAGTTGTTTAGTTTTCACGTAATGGACTAACATCCGGCGTCACATTGCGAGGTGAGGACCTTGGATCCCAAAGGAAACGAGCCGAGTTCACAATTCATACATTCAGAAGGGCCGAAAGACAGAACTGCCCAAATCCCAGGTCACTGGAGGAATCGCAGGGTCAACCTGGGACCCGTGGACTGTTCCCTCGTAGACTGAGCCATCATTAGGGAGGACTGACCGAGTTCTGACCTACTCTACAAAGTCCCTTCAAGGTCACCCACCCTCTGCAGCGTTTCCACGGAAGGGAAGCAGGAGAAATACTGAGGTAGAATGGGGTATGTAGGTATATGCAAGGTAGGCTATAGAATGCCAAGGAGTAAAACATAAATTAGGTTTTAAAAAAACTACACCACCAATATATTAGAGTCCTTTACAATTCCCTGAGTTCCTCTGCTAAACTTAAAATGTGATTTGATTTATATCTCTTTTTGGACAAACACCGATTGAGTTAAATCAGACACGTCTGTGTTTCTCCAATCTGTGGACGTTGTGTAAATGGTAGAAAAGAGGGTTCGAAGCAAGTTCCAGTCCCCTGTTGCTACAATGGTCTCTCAAACAGCACGTCAATGAGTACAATGAGTAACTTGCTAAAACGCTTGCACGTGACAATACCGACAACATACTGTTTCTAGACCCATCGGGATAAGCTTGATGGATAACCAATCGTTCGTTAATCTTCCCTCGGAAGGCCCTGCTTAATACCATTTACTGCGCTTCCTAATATCTTTAGCCTTCTCCTTTCCATTCAGAGTCAGGGTATTTTTAGGTTTCAGAGAGATTGCTGTAGAAACGTCCTCTTTTGGAGGTACTTTCTCCCGCGGGCCGAGGGTGAATGTTCCGGGCCAGCTTTGTGTCACACTGGAGTGCGTGTTTGTCCACTTGCAGCAGAAGAGGGGCAGAACAAAGGGAGGGCAGAAGTCTGAGTCCTTATAGCTAACTTAAGAAATTCCAATCAAGGTGGAGGAGAAGGAAGAAATGGAAAGTCCCCTGACCGATCCATGATGTACGAAGGCCGAGAACAGCTTTAGAAGGCGAGGCCGCTCTGTGTGCTTCTTGTTAAAGGAAGCACACACACGCACCACAAGCAAAACCCTAGAGCTGACATTCCACATGTAAGACAAAGCTGTGTTATTCTGGATCGTACCTGGAAGGTAGAGCAGAAAAATCTCAGAGCCCGGGCCATAGACTGTGACCTTGCCTCAGAAATTTTAAATATTTATATTTCACTTGATTCCTTTCTAATTGAAAACATTCTTGAAAAAAAAAAAATTCAAGCCCTTGCTTTCCTCAAGGAAACGGCAATAACCTGCGTTAAGCCCGCGTGAGTCATTCCCAAGGCTAGTTTCGGAAGAATTTGACATAACTGATGGTGCGCGCTCACTGTAGAAGGTAGAGAAGCTTGAACCAAAGCGGACACTGTATTTTTTTCTCTTGGTTATTAGGTTCTGGGACCCCCGAGGGCAGGTCTAGAAAGTGTGGTTATGGGGTTTATTTATGGTGCCTGCTTATATGTTTTCTTTTAAGCAATAATATACTCAGAGACTATTTTGAGAGTTCAATTATGTCCATTTCAAGGATATACAAAGCCAATGGGAAATTACAACAGAATTTTTTTTTTTTAACAAGAATAGCCACCACCATTCTGGAACCCGTGACATTTATTTATTTATTTTTAAAAAGCAAAACCATTGAAGGAGGTTGCTTGCTTCAATCACAGCCAGTAAGTTGCTATTTTGTAGTCACTTCTTACTATTGCTGATTTGTATAGGCACCGGCCTAGAATGAGAAAGAAGGCCTAACCCAGCCCTATAATATCACCAAACATTCCAAGATACTCGAAGACAACTTTAGAAAAGGTGGAAAGATTTCAAAGTAAGATTATTTTGGCAGCAGAGATAAAGGGAGGGGCAGAAAAGCACAAGCCTTATTTCTCATTTTCTTTGCAACAACAGGCCATTTAAGAAAGCGGTGGCTGCTCTGAAGGGCTCAGTTGTAGATGAAGGCCAATGAGATTTCTATGCTCATGTGCCCTGTTACATACCCAAATTGTCACGTGTATATGGTTAGTACAGGGATTGCATGGTAAAAAAACCTGCTTAGTGTATAAAGCTCTCAGAACACAGCCTTGCTCACAGTAAGCACTCATAAAAATCTTAACTATTATTTTTCTTTTCTTATGCCCTACTCATCCAGTGCACCAAGGTAAACTTCCTGCTTCCTGGTTCAGCCTTAGCTATACTGGAAAGCAACATTAAACTTTTTAAAAAAATATATTTTATTGATTTTTTACAGAGAGGAAGGGAGAGGGATAGAGAGTTAGAAACATCGACGAGAGAGAAACATCGATCAGCTGCCTCCTGCACACCCCCCACTGGGGATGTGCCTGCAACCCAGGTACATGCCCTTGACCGGAATCGAACCTGGGACCCTTCAGTCCGAAGGCCGATGCTCTAGCCACTGAGCCAAACCGGTTAGGGCAACAAACTTTTTGACTGCAGGCCTGGAGGCCTGGAGAAGGGTGGCTGTGGCTCAGCTGAGATGACTCATTTGGGGGTGGGTGAGGGTAGGGAGGGGGCTGTTGGTGAGAAGGGCTGTCTCAGGTGCCTCCACCAGCACTTCCTTGAAACATTCTTGGATCACCCAACTCATTCTGAGTTCTTTCCTTGAATTTTAAATATGTCCCACCAAATTTTTTGTTTTGTTTTGAGATTTTATTATTTATTTATTTATTGTTAATCCTCACTCGAGGATATTTTCCCATCGATTTTTAGAGAGAGTGGAAGGGGGGGGGGAGACAGAGAGAGAGAGAGAGAAACATTGATGTGTCAGAGACACATTGACTGGTTGCCTTCCGCACTCGCCCTGACCAGGGCCAGGGGTGAGCCTGAGACTATAGTACATGCCCTTGACTGGAATAGAACCCAGGACCCTTCAGTCTGTGGCCCGACGCTCTACCCACTGAACCAAACCGGCTAGGACTGTCTCACCAAATTTAACACTTGTCATTCCTTCTCTGTCTTGTGTAGTTTCGACTTTTTGAGAAGGGGCCCTGCTTTAGGCTTATCTGAAACCCTCCATGATCTCATTTCGGGGCACTTGGCAGCAGTGGGCTTTGTAACATTCAGCGGCTGGAGGAGGCCAGGGCCTCGGATCACAGAGAGCATGGCCAGCAGAGTCCAGAGAAGGCGCGCTGTGCAGAGGAGCTGTGGTCAACACTAAACACTAGCCCCAGGCTGAAACAGTCCCCGTGCACACTTCATCCCTGATCTTGTTGGGGCAGGCCACAGAAAGGACCTGGAATTAGAGAAGTGTACCATGTCTCTGTAGTCCTCTGTTTTACAATGCTTCCCCCACCTCCCCTTTTCCTTTTTGAAAGGGACTGCCTTTTGTTTTCTCCTAACAGGCGAGGCATTCAACTTCACCTGTGTCGGCAGGCACTCAGCCCAAACCTGACATCACAGAGAAACATCACGAAGACCAAAAACAGTGAGGATATTTGAGACTTTAAACTCAGGTCTCAGAAGGCCAACCTCTTTTAAGAAGTTGGCAGACTTCTCATGCTAAGTAAGGAAGGGATTGTTTACAATTGCTGGGGGGAAAAATACAGGACTCCACAAACAAACAGCCAGCTGCTTTGCTAGGAGCTACCAAATGATTCCTAAACTCTGACTCATCAAAGAACCATAGGCAGTCGCTATACTGATCACCAGTTGTGATAATGACAGCCAGCGCCACAGCTCTAGCTCAGAGGGTGTGAAGTGAGAGGAAGGAAAGGAGACTCCGGAAGGGCACGAGGGATCTCAGTCTGGGTTAAACGTTTGTGCTAAGTTAAAACCATCTTCAGGTCTCCCATGGACGGAGAGAGAGGCGCCACTGTTCACTGCGAAAGGAGAGTGATGCCGTCTCATCTCCGGGAGCAGGGACAGTGGGAGTATTTATATGAACCAGAGGCTCTATTTTGAATCCTCTCCTGCTCAACCCCGTGGTCTGCTTCCCACCGAGGAGCATCCTGCAATTATATTTGGGTGACTCACTGAGACATGGCTCCCTAGAAAGAATCTGGACTGTTATGCAGAAATAAAGTACCAAATATTAGATCATCGTTCCTGAGGAATGAGGAAGAAGGAAGCGAGCTTCTCTCCAGGACAGAATAATTTAGGCATAATTGGTAACTTGAGTACCCAAAAGACAGTCTGGTGACAGCAGGTGATCATTGTGTTTTTCTTTCTTTCTTTTTTTAAAAAAAATATTTTTGTTGACTTCAGAGAGGAAGGGAGAGGGGGAGAGAGAGAGACGAACATCAACAATGAGAGAGAATTATTGATCAGCTGCCTCCTGCACGCCCCCTACTGGGGATCGAGCCCGCAACCCCAGCATGTGCCCTTGACCAGAATCGAACCTGGGACTCTTCAGTCTGCAGGCGGAGGCTCTATCCACTGAGCCAAACCAGTTAGGGCCACAGTGTTTTTCTGTAAGTAAATATCTAATTTTCTATAAATAAAATTTCTTTGCAGTGCTCCCCAACCTGCCTAGGATCTGCCCACAGGCATCTTCAGCATAGCGGTCAATATGCTCTTGTCTCTGTCACACAGGCCTTTCCGTTTTCCCCCACTGGGAGACAAAGAGTTTGATGCTTTACAAATCACAAACAGATGGGGGGCTCTGGAGGTCAAGCTGTCAAAATCACCGTCTTTTCTTGGTTGTTTTCCTTAAAATTAAGTCAAGAGACCAGCCAAACCACCACGGGTTTCTGTAAGTGGGAACCTGACCCTTACAAAACTGTCCATTGAAGTCAATTCAAGGAGGGAGGGCAGGGGTTTTAACCAAAGTGGGTGAGAAAAGGCACCCAAGGGTGGCCAGGCTGCACAGACCCCCTCTGGACCCACTTTCATTGCTCTCCTCACCTGGGCCAAATGCCAGGGATCTGGAAGTCAACGTTTAAGAACCAGACTGACAGATTCCAGACCTTAGTCAGTGCTTCTGTGTTGTTAACCACGCAGAACTCCCGGTTCAGCGGGCCTCGGGTTTTCTACCAGACAGGGCTCCGGTGGGACCTCGAGGGGCTCAGCTGAGCCAGGTGGCCTTTCTGCATTTGATAGGCACCATTGAAATAGGGGTACAAAGAAAATTAACCCAAAGCGTCACGGAGGAAACAGGTGCAAATGGTTGGTCCTCTCCGAAGCAGAAGACGTGTGCATTTCCTCCTCCTTCCTCTCCTGCTCAGCTCTGCAGCCCCCAGTCCTCACCACCGCTCAAAGCAAGTCCGCCCTGCAAGCCGGTGCCCCAGGGCCATCTGGCCGCCCCTTCCTGGTTACTCATCCTCCCAGCCCACTCTGTGGTCTCCTGTGCGTGGGAAGAGCCCGGCGGCGCTCCGGCCGGAACCCTCACCCCATGCCGTCACCTGACTGTACCCACAACGCTGGGGCTCTGGGAGCCCCGCCACCCCAGCGGGGGAAGCGCGTGGCCCACTCGCCCGCGCCCCCACACTTGCAAACTGCGCCACGCCGTTGTCCTGAAGGCAGGGGACCCCTCCAGTTGGGTGCTTAAGTTTGGATGTTTGTGGACAATATCTGCGTTTGTCCTCCAATTCCCAGGGTTCTGTAAGTAGTGCCCACTTGCAGACACTGACCTTGAACAACAAGAGACATCCAACTCCCCGATCCCGTGCTCTCACGACCTCTGCAGAAACCAGACAACTCCCTCCCCTCTCCCGGGTCGGGGTCCCCTCCTCACCCTCTTCCAACCATGCCTGACGCCCTT